CCTGTAAAACAGATTCCTCAACTGATGCAAAGTGGGATGAGGGATGCACATTATTACTGTTTATTATTAATAGTGCATGAAAGCAAATGCTCCACGGTTACTGAGCTAATAAAGTTGTATACTTAACATGCACTGGAAATATGTGCCTGATTTAGTCTCTAACAGAGTTGGAAGATCAACACTGGCAGTATTGCCAATACCAAATGTTCAAAAATCATACCAGGTCCCAAAAAATAATGAGACTATCTTAAAATCATGATAGATAAATAAGATTAGTTTATAATTTGACTCCTAGTCTCTGAGCTTTTAAAGTTAACTCACTTCCCATATTAAAACTTTTTTCGGAAACGATGAGGGCAAGAATCTTCCTTTAAAAAGAAAAGAAAGGAAAAGAAAGCTGAGAATCTCACACAATCTTTTGAGTCTGGGAGCTCGGGTGTTAAGAACAATAATTATAATAACACCTTGCTTTTATCTGGTGTTTTTCATCCATAGATCTCAATGCGCATTACAAAGGATATCACTATCATTAATCCACTTTGACTGAATGGGAAACTGAGGCACGGGAAGCTGTAGTGACTTGTCCAAGGTCACCCAGCAGAACCCAGGTCTCCTGATTCCCCATTCAGTGCTCTGTTCGCTAGGTCACACCAAATATTGCAAGATTCATGATAAAATCTTGAGAGCTGGCAACACTATATCAGCATATGGGTAGGAGGGATGGTTTGAGTATTGGCCTGTTTTGAGTATTGCTCCATGGTTTGAGTATTGGCCTGCTGAACTCAGGGTTGTGAGTTCAATCCTTGAGGGGGCCATTTAGGAATCTTAGACAAAATAATCTGTCAGGGACAGTACTTGGTCCTGCTGTGAAGGCAGGGGACTGGACTTCATGACCTTTCAAGGTTCCTTCCAGTTCTACATTTCTATTATTCTAGCATGCCATCCTAGCTTATATTAGCAAAAAAGTGATTTAGGCATCATAGCTTATACCAGGTTCAGCAAACCAAATAAGCTATACCAGCAAAAGTATTTTTATGCCAGTATAACTCCACCTATACTTGGGGCATTTGCCAGTATAGAAATGTTGTTAAAAATAAAAGTCACACCCCGAACCATCATTGCTGTAACAACACAAGTTTCTAGTGTAGACCTGTGTTAGATTCCTGCTAACAGAAAACTTGCAATTGCTTCTGCATGTGAGTAACTTTTCTCATGTGAATAATAATGGGACTATTAACATGCATGTGTGTAGGACTGTGACCTACCTTATTAAAGACCAGGGTCATCTCAGCCATAGTGGGAGTTAAATCCAAAACATTGAGTCATGATAAGGGTCAATTAAAGGCCAAACAAAGCTGTATCTCCCAGGATAAATTATCATACACAATATTTTCTTTTGGAGCAATTAATACTTTGTAAGGATCATTTGAATACTCATATCTCCTTTTCTAAACACTTGCTTTGACATATTCAAAGCTAGCTACTTGTTTCAGGAAATCTTACTTTCCAAGAATACAAAGAATCGGTCTTTCATCAATACATATGTACCAGTACATTCACTTTCCCCGAATGTCTGGGAAGAAATTGTGTCTGTTGCTGTGTTCAACTAGACTGAAAGGTAAGAAGAAGTTTAGCTTTGAAGCTAAATTTGAAGACCATATCTTGGGCTTTTATGGCATCAGGGCCATTATTTGCCATTACTATCTTATTGTGGATGAAAAACATCATGAAGCCTTTGGATAGTCACAAGATTCCATTACTCTGTTGGACAAACTTATCTCTATTAGTATAACAAAAATTATGATAGCAGTTCTGTTAAGTAGTCTTCCACCAGAGCTGCGTAGATACTGCAAAAATAATTCCACAAAACTTAGTTCACATTGTTTCAGTATTCATGGAAAAATGTTAAATCAATATTAGAAAATATTCATAGAAAGTGAATTTTCTATTCTTAAGCATGATAATTTACCCCCCCAAAAAACTGATTCTAGGAATTATATTTTTCCACTTAGAGAAACGCACCATAGGAAATGTTCAGTTATGAATAACCAATACAGAAATACTGAGTATCAAATACTTGCAATGAACTGCTCATGAATGAGATACCTTCCAAGAATCATTAGCAAAAATCATTCAGGGAATAATTTTGGATAATGAATAAATCTGAGAAAGTCATAATCTCCCATGTTGTATGCAGTGTTGTAACCGTGTTGGTCCCAGGATATTAGAGAGACAAGGTGGGTGAGGTAATATCTTTTACTGGACCAACTTCTGTTGGTGAGAGAGACAAGCTTTCGAACTACACAGAGCTCTTCCTCAGGTCTGGGAAAGGTCCTTAGAGTGTCACAGCTAAATACAATATCAAAGAGATAGTTTAGCATAAGTAGTTAGCACATATTTTAAGGCTTTAGGACTCTGCGAGATGGGAGGGTCCCAGAACTCGGGCTCCAGCCTGAGCCTGGAAGTTTACATAGCAGTGAAACAGCACTGCAGCCCGAGCCCCATGAGCCCAAGCCAGCTGGCACCGGCCAGCCGTAGGTTTTTCTTTGCTGCGTGAACATGCCCATAGTTGCTATTGGGGCATTTAGTGCACCGGATGAGGTACACCACATGTTGTGATAGGCATGTGTAGTACCCATGGACCTTGAAAGATGTGTTGTGGGGGGAGTTGATCATTGTAGCTGTGGAGATATGTCTGCAGGTTTTGCATCTGTTGTTCTGGCAGGGTCTGGTGACATATTGAGTTGGTGTGGCCTGGTCTGTGGGGACCTTGCTTCTGATGATGAGCTTGGAGATGTTGGAGGATTGCTTGAAGGCCAGAAGATGGGGTTCAGGAAAGATTTCTTTCAGGATGGGGTCTCCTTTGAGTATGGGTTGTAGTTGTTTGATGATACCCTGTCTGGGTTCCAGTGTGGGGTGGTAGGTGACAACTAGGGGTGTGAGATCAAAGGGGATTTTATTTCTGTATTGAAGCAGGTTCTCTTGGGACATTTGGGTAGCCCCTTCCATGATGTGATCTACTTCTTTGGTGGAGTGTCCTTGTTTGGTGAAGGCCATAGGTGGTGTGTGACTTACGTTTGGGGAGGCTGGGTGTGAACGCTGGAAGTGTGGAGGCCATCAGCTCCCAGACCGCAGCCCCACCCCTCCTGCTCTGCTCCAAGGCCCTGACCCTGTTCAGCCTCCTCCCCCCGATGCCACACCCATGCTCCACCCCCATTCCTCCCCAAGGCCTGCTCCCACTCTGACTCCTGGGACAGGGTCTTCTGTGACCATATCAACATACACATATTTTTCAGGGCAATATCTCTTATACTTCACTGAATGTGGCTCATGTCATTTCAAAGTTACCTTTCTAAGCATTTTTTCCATGCGTTCCAAGAGAAACTATGGCCTTCCTTTCCTTCTAGTTACTTGAAAGTAGATCTGACCAAAATATTAAAATATTCCATACTAAATATGTTGTGTTTCTTTTGTTTTCAAGGAGGTTTTTTGGGGAGAAGGGCTGAGCTTTTCCAGATGTGTATTTTTATGGAAAGGTTGTTCTAAGTTTTCATATGCCGTCCTACAAGAGATGTCTAATCATATGCAATCTCACAAGAAAATAGCCTCACAAATCCAAAGTTTAAAAGAATTGGGGGGGGGGGATTCCATGGATTTCTGTGGGGTTCTGGATGTTTCAAACTAGTTTATCCCAATTCTACATGAAAGATTGGTTTTAACTTCCTGATACAAGTTATTTTGCTACCTTAGAAATATGTTAGCTAAGTCATGAAGATGAACTATGAAATAGTCAGAATTAAGCACTTTTATGGCACATAATGTTATTGCCTATGATGTATTCAAGAGAGTGAGTCTGCCCAAGATATGGTCTTCAAAATATTTCCCCGTGTATTATATATATGGCTAGCTTGTTTATATAGATTTAGACTTCAATTTTTTTACTATTGTCTCTGAACACACTATTGTGGTTGTGTTCTCATGAACCTTTAATGCAGCCCTTTGGCGGATGTACAGAAGAGATCTCGAACAGAGCTCAATATTTTCCATATGATGTGAACTGTACATTTAATTCCCCTCTACTCCTCATTTTTAATAATTGCGGGCACATTATTCACCAAATGCAAGAAGATCATCCTCCATTATGCCTGCATAATCAAGGGTTAATTTTAGTCTTCATGGATTTGTCAATATTATTCAAGAAAAGCAGGTAACTGAAACACATTAGTTTGCCCCTTTCTGCCATATATCTTTTATCTCACTGCTAAAGTTTTACATTAGCAATGGAGTTTTAACTTTTTGTTCCTCGGAATTCAACTCCTTGATGGTCATGTAATAGATGATCTAGATTTTACTGCAAACAGACTTACAGTAATGACCACAAAGATATTTATAGCTGCTACCAGGATCCTAAACACATGAAAATTTCCAGTCCCAGCAGGCTAGCTTTGAAAGCACTGAAAGAAAGAGCTGCAAAAGTTGGAAGTTCTCTGCTGAAATCAAAACCTAAATGTTCATTTACCACCCAAGATTTTCCATAAAACCTTCCACTCATCACAGGAGAGTTCACATTTAGGTTTAAATGTTTCAATAACCATAACACAAAGGAGCACTTTATTATGTGTGTTTATTTCTGAATGAACCTGGGTACTGCCATTCTATCTCCATCAAAAGTGATGGGTTTTCTCTCTCTCTCTCTTTTTATTCAGTTTGGGTATAAAAAGATACCATTACTTCATGAAGGGAAACTATATTCAAATATTGTTAATTAAATGGGTGAACGAATGTCAGTGTTAATGTATAGGTACATAAAAAGAATCATATTTTGCAGCTATTACAAGGCTCCTTAAAGAGCACACGTTTTTCTGTATTAAATCTATGGTAATTGAAAGCTACATAATCAAAAACACCTTGTAAGCTTGGCAGCCATATAGTACGGAATGTTTAAAATAAAATGTCTGAATGGAAAGTTCAGTTTTGTTTCGTTGTTTTTTTTCCTCCAGGGTCATCGTGGTAAGGGAAATATTTTTATCTGGGCCTCAGGAAATGGTGGTCTGGCTAATGATCACAGCAGTGCTGAGGGTTCTGTGAACAGTATTTGCACATTGGCAGCTGGTGCCATCACTGACCTCCACCTCACAACTCCCTCTACAAGGTCTGCTCAGCAATGATAGCTGTGGTTCCTACAGAAGTATCCGGTGAGGTACCAGTGTGGTGGACAGGACCCTGAAACAGGACTTCAATTTAGAGCAGGGTGAGTCGCAATGTGTGAATAAAATATTGATGTGGCCAGCCAGGCACCCTGCCGCTGTGATATTTCAACAGAAATTCAGCAAGAGGCCATTATGCACCTCACCTTTTTATATAAACAAGCATATGTGCTAAGGAATGTAGAGACCTCGAATAGCGATGGATCTTGAATCCGAATCTCTGTGCTTTGCAGGTGAATGCTCCGTCACTCACACTGCAGGAGCAGTGTCACTGTCTCAGATTAGCAGAAAGGGTGTACATTTTCCAAAGGCACTTGCACTACATTTCACTCTTCTCTTCAATACGCTGCAAAAGTTTCTTCTATCCCCTTTCTAAAATAAATAACACCATCTTTTTCACACTTCAAAATTAGTGCACTGTAAATCTACAGATTTACTGAGATTCCTTAGCTATAATTCTATCCATTCCAGACACTTTACAAACTGTTTACCCCATCCTCAAGTTCTACAAAGATTGTGCAATGAGAATGTTGACTTTAGCTATTAGGCTTACATTATGCACATTTTCTCAATTGCCAAAGGATACTCCCTGTATAAAGTTGATGTACTGTGCCACTTTCCAATTTAATCAACACTCTGTGCATCTCTAATAACCCTCAAAAAATACTTAACAGATACCTTTTTTTGTTAGTCTTCTTTCCTTCAACACTAATGCACTTCATCCTTGGAAAACTGTTATACGTAAACTGTTATTTTCATTTTACCAATGCATCACATTATACCATGATCTTGTACAGCCACAAATATTTTCTAAAGACTTTTAGTTCAAGGTTGTATCAACATTTCTGTACCTTGCATTATCTCCAGGTTTTGCTAAAACATGACAAAATTTACTCTGTTTCCTATCATTTTGACTTTTTATTTTGATCTCAAGTTTCTTTTTGCATTTCTAAATGTAGCATCTTTTACATTCTCTGTGGGATATATCCAGATGGGGAATTCTTACACTGAGTGTTATATTTTGAAATGTAAAAAGACTCTCAAATAAGACACTCAAGCTCCAGCTGTCAGAGACTGGGACATGGGTGGTTGAGCCTACTGGTTGCAGCTGGCTTCGGTAGCCAGGAATCAAAGCTGAAGGTCAGAACCAGGAAGCATGGCAAGACAGGACCAGGTTTATCTCAGCAGTGGGTGAATGCTTTGAGCAGCCACTGAACTGTCGCTGCTGCTGGGTTTATGAGCCACTCTCCTGGCTCTTCCACGCAATCAGGTGGTGTAGCCAACTAGGCAGCATACTACAGGTCAGCTGTGTTGTTAGAGTGCCCGGAGACTGGCTCTGCTGCAGGCCCTGATTCCCAGAAACAAACTCTAGCATTTCTCTTTTTGTGGGAGTACAAATTTAAGCTGGCAACTGCTATCCAATAATTTTTAAAGTAGACCACTAAAGTGGATTATTCACATAAAATGCCATTATATAACATATTAAAAATATAACATACGTTCTATTAAGTAGAAAATGAGTTTTGACTACCTCAAATTCTGGATTCGTTTTGGATTTTTCTGCTCCAAACTATGTGCATTGCCACTAGTAATAATTAAAGTGATTGGGATTCCTATCACATAATGTCACATAAGTCAGCATGAATTCGATATGTGGGAAGCTACTGGAGCAATGTATAAAATGTTCATTTTGCAAATATCTGCAGGATGAAGGAGTAATCACTAGCAGTCAGCATGGATTTACCAAGAACAAATCATGTCAAACCAGCTTGATTTCCTTCTTTGATAGGGTAACTGGTTTGGTGGATGGGGGAATGTGGTAGATATAGTGTATCTGGACTTCAGCAAGGCTTTTGACATAGTCCCACATGACAGTCTGATAAGTAAGCTGGAGAAATGCAGGCTTGGCAGAACTACCATTAGGTGGATACATAACTGGTTAAACAACTGCAAACAAAGAGTAACTATTAATGGAAGGATGTCAGATTGGAGGGAGGTCTCAAGTGGGGTTTCACAGGGATCTGTTCTGGATCTGGTGTTTTTTAACATCTTTATTAATGACATGGATATAGGAATAAAGAGCATATTGATCAAATTTGCAGATGACACAAAGCTGGGGTGGGGGGAGTTGCTAACACTTTGGAGGCTAGAGCTAAAATTCAGAGGGATCTTGATAAATTGGAGAACTGAGCTATAGACAACAAAATGAAGTTCAACAAAGACAAATGTAAGGTGCTACACTTAGGGAAATAAAAACAAATGCATAAATACAGAATCAGGGATAACTGGCTTGGCAGCAGCATTGCGGAGAAGGATCTGGGAGTCATGGTGCATCACAACCTCAACATGAGTCAGGAATGTGATGCAATGTGATGCTGTTGCAAAAAAAAACAAATGCAATTTTAGGTTGCATTAACAGAGGTATTGCATGCAAGTTACAGAAGGTGATAGTACCACTCTACTTGGCACTGGTTAGGCCTCAGATGTGTAGAAAGGATGTGGAGAAACTGGAAAGGATCCAGAGGTGAGCAACAAAGATGATCAAAGATATGGAATGCAAGCCATATGAGTAAAGGCTGAAGGAACTGGGTATGTTTAGTTTGGAAAAGATGAGATTGAGGGAGGACACAATAGCGGTCTTCAAATACTTGAAAGGCTGCCATAAAAAAGATGGAGAAAAGTTGTTCTCTTTTTCCACAGGGGGCAGGACAAGAGGCAATGGGTTCATACTACAGCATAGCAGATTTAGATTAAATCTCAGGAAAAACTTCCTAACTGTAAGAAGAGTGGGACAATGGTCACAGACTCTCTAGGGAAGTTGTGGAATCTCCTTCACTGAAGGTTTTCAATTGGAAGCTGGATGGCCATCTGTCTGGGATGGCTTAAACACAATAAATCCTGCATTTTGGAAGGGGGTTCGACTAGGTGATCCTTGTGATCCCTTCTAACTCTAGGATTCTGAGTACTGAAAATGGAACTTTCACTGTAGCACCTTGTAGTATAGGTAGACCTAGTGAGACTGGAATGGATGGAAGAAGATTGGGAGTTGGAGGATAGAGTTTGGTGAGTAGGCATTAGAGGGTGGAGATTGGGAGTTGGACTGGTAGAGTCTGGGGAGACTGGGAATCGGAGGGGAAGATTGGGACTGGCTGAACAAAGAGACTGGGAGCTGGGACTTGGATTCAGTGTGGGAGACAGGGCTGGGGGGCACTGGGAGCCAATTGTCTGGGAGGAAAACACTGACATTAGCTGAGGAGCTGGGAGTGGGGGGAGAGATTGGAATTGCCTGGACAAGGAGACTAGGTCTGGGAACCAGTGGGAGAGGGAAGGGGGAGAGAAGAGACAGATCTGACAAGGAGCTGAAGTGAGGGAAGAACTGGGAAATCGATCCCCCCCCAGTGTAGACCTAGCCTTAGGAATGCAGAGTGGGACTGTGTAGACAAGTAGAATGAGACTGGGATGAGTCAGGGTAGGGAAGAGACAGGACTGGGACAAAAATAACGAGGAGTCCTTATGGCACCTTAGAGACTAACATTTATTTGGGAGTTATTTGGGGTAGTGGTGGCAGAGCGCGGGCAGGGATTTAAAGGGCCCGAAGCTCCAGCAGCGGGGCTCGGGTGGCACTTTAAAGGGCTCCCTGCAGCGTACCATACCGTACCGTACTGTACCGTACCGGCTTGTGTACTGATGAGTGTGTTAGCTAAGTCTTGTTGAAAACTTTTTCAATGGAAAATTTGAGGGTTTTTTTTTTTTTTTTAAATTTTTTTTTTAAAAAAAGTT